AATACTTATAAATACCTGATTCATTTCGCATAGTATAAAGTTCTATAATATCACCTAATAGATGAGGCAGAATATAAACGATATATAAATATGTAAAAAATAGAAATAATTTGTTATACCTGCAATATTAATAATAAATATAGATAAATTCTGTCTTTTCTATAGTTAGTTAAATATCTTTTTAAGCTTTAACATATTTCTCGTAGAGTCGATAGAATCCTTGGAGAAATGTATTAATTTTTTGTGATCACGAACCCGCTTATTTTAACTGAAATTAGGTCTACCAGTCTCAAGATAAACAATTTCAAGTTCAACATTTTTTCTTAACTGGACTACCATCATATAATTGACTCTTCAGGCAATTTTATAAGAATCTTTTCGTATAGCACTAGCTAAACTCCCTTCTTTACCCTTAATTTAGAAAACATTAATTATAGCAAAAGATATGATAGTATTGTGGTGTAACCTTCTGAACTAAACCTACCATATATCTCATGCTATCGGGTTTCCTGATAAATCATTCATCACTATGTTTAATAATAGTGCTAGAACCTCACAAACATATGATCCTTCATTTATCAATTTTCCCTTCTTTATATATACTTCGTATTTTGGCGATTTCTAAACCTTGAGCCTATAATTATTTATCAGTTAATGAACAAAGTAAAAAATCGTATAAACAGATTTCACAAGATTTGCTTGTCAGTTACTTACATTGATTCTAACGTCCGTTTTGTTAGATTTTGCAATTCTTCAAGCTTATCCAACCATTCTTCATAATTAATATTACCCAAAATCTCATCTATGTTAATTTTTGATTCTTCTTTTTGGATAAATTCTTTACAGGCTTCCATTATATCATAATTCTGTTCTAACTTATATTTTCAAAATAGTTTCTTAAAAATATCAGAAACTGATCCAGGCATATTTGTAAAGGGTTCTGACTTAATATCTAGAATACTTGAATAAATCAAATGATCGAATCTAAGGTTTTTCACATTTATTTCCTTAAGTTCTGTTTCTATTCTCTCCCACATAGTTTTCTTATAACTAGCACTCTCAGTTATATATCGTCTAACGTCACACTTCAAAGATCGTAAATTTGTATTTGCATCTTCATACCAGGCTTCTGTATTGATTACTAACGCTTTCAATTCTGAGAGTAAACTAAATCTTTGAATGCAGTTGTGACCTAAAATATATTTAAAATTAGTTTCTAAGACTCGTTTGACAAAATAATTTCATTTACATCATAGGATCAGGTTAGGTTTCCATTTTCATAAAGTCTCAAGTGCTAGCAAAATATTTGAGTTACTACTGTGTGGGAAGTAATAATATTACAATGGACATTAGCCCTTCACTAGTAATAATACCATACTAAGAAACCTAAAAAAAGCATGTCATCATATCCATATATTCATCATGAAAATATTTTATCACCTTACCTGTTTAACTAATTTTTTTCTGATACAAAAACTTTGAAGTTTATTTTTTTGCTTGATATCTTCTGAGGGGACTAGTTCTAAGACTCTTTTCAAAACATTCTCAAAATTCTTCACCTTCTTCTTAAGAATGCCTGTCCATTTACCTTCCTCTACTTGTATAAATAACGCTGTGGAAATTCTGATGATATTAAGAGGCTCTCTTGTTAAAAAAATTCTTTCATGTTTTAATAGAATAAAAAAGTTAATATTAATATAAAGCTAACTAGGTAAAGTACAAAAATAATGTACAGTAGATTTCAATACCTTTTCATTATACTGCCTTTTTAAATGTCTTGTATTTTCAATTACGTTCTCTCTAACTCACATTCATGTTGGAGAAAGAGATAGGAAAGGCACTTTACGCTAAAATTTTATATTTAAGAGTAAGACATGCAGAATGTGCATTATAGATCTTAACATTGCAAAGGCGTTAAAGAGTATGTATATACATACTTTTTATTTTACTTGCTCGACCGCTCAGTAATAAAGGCCTAGTAATATTATATAAATATACTCTAGTCAGAATCTAATAGGAATAGCCTATAGCAATGTAATGCTCTAGAAGAAATAAACACAAATAAATGCTATTCAGATAGATAGGAAACATTTTGGGGATTGATTTCTTATGTGTAAAAATTAATTAGTCACACAAGCAATCACACAAAGTTACAGATAATTTGTGGTGTATCACTATTATATCATATACACTTTAACAAGGATCAGAAAATGTGCTAATTTATATCACATACTGTTCTTCTACATATATTGTGGCTGGACAGTATATTATTTTATTAAGATAATATTCAGGATCTGGGTCAAGGACTGATCTGAAAAATTCAGCGTACAAACTCACAATTATTATCTAAGTCTGTGAAATTTACGGTAATATCCTTTCTGTAAATATGATATCTGTATTTTAATGGTGAATCGTATATAGGTTTCATTTCTAATAATTTAATCTTATATGCCTCGTATTCTGAAATTCTGATGAAGTATACAAAATTATACTTTTTATGAATATTATAATATTCAGGATTCTATAGCCATTTTAACATGTTAATCCAATATGCATCTCTAACAACTATATAGCCTTGATGATATAATAATTTCTTAACAAATGTGAATGTTGCAAAAGATAATCATTGTCATAATTGGACTCTCTTCTCATACATCCAATTATTTTTTACTGGATAACAATGTTTCTTATTCTCATAACAAATATATTCTGATTGTTTCGATTTATTTTTTATACCTAAAAATTTTTTCTCATTAGGAGTACCATCATTCCTTACTACCTCCCAAACTTGTTTTGCTAACGACTCAGGTCTCTTCTTGTAATTCCTGTAAGCTCGCTAGATAACTGTTGCATAGAAATTCTCAAACTGATAGTTATATTGTCTTGCAATTAAGAATCCCCAAGATCGCTTCATTGATCTTCCTGAATTTCTCAAAAAATACTTTATTAAAATAGTTATAGATTAGAGGATCTAACCCAGAATAGACAGATCTTGTATAACGATTTTCTTCATGTATATAAAACATTTCACGCATAGCTACTTTGGCCAATTATATTAGGCGATCATGCATGCAAATTATATAGCGCAAAAAAAACATGAATAAGTTATGAATATAGTTGAGATATTATTTAGTCAAAAGTAATAATCTATAATTAAAACATTATTTGAAATCAGTCAATCAAATCAGTTAAATAATCATGATTTCTGTCCTATCTCTCAATCTTAATATAGTACCTTTTGGCTGATTAAGATAGTTTATAGGTGGTAGTAAGTTATTTTGTTTTGCATACTGAGACGAGATAAATAGTTTGTTTGAAGGAGTCAACAAGTGTGTCTTATTCCTTATAGAATTCCAGTACTTAAGAGAGTCGTAGTTTATTACAGTAAACACCTATCAGATCATTTCCTTAAATTTATCAAAAGCTTATTGCTTGACTCTTGCATGCCTAAGATCACTTAAAGGATCAGAACATTCTTGGTCCTAATGTTCCTACATTATGTCTTTAGCTTCAATTAATTCAATGAATCTATGCCATCCATAGTGGTATGATTTGGTTGGCTTTATTTCATTAACTTCTAGCAACAAAAGCAGATTGCTATATTGTTTTTATGGATTTTAGGACAATAATAAGAATAATATGATTTGTCAAATTTGCTTTCACCAAATCCTGCAAACAAGCAGAAACTATGGTATATGCTATTTTTATTTTGTGATAATAAATATTGGAGAGTATTTTTAACTCGTAATCCCCACTGCATTGGAGACTCTCCCTTTTTCATTATTGATAATTTGTCATAGATTTTTTTCATTAGCAAGAAATTTTTTGAAATCCATGCTACCATAGTAATTTTCGAGATATGTTCTATAATATTTTATATCATATCCAGGATGGTTACTGATGGGCTTAGGTAACTGCCATTCTTTTTTATCAATAATCATATTAATGTTAGTAGCACTTGCCAAGGTAACAACTATCATATTTAGCAAAATATACTGATTTTAGTTATTTATAGCGTTTTTAATGAATTCTAGTAATTCTTTAACAACTTATACTAGATAATATCATCATTCAAATTTATACAGATTTACTGAGTTGATTTGTAGCCGATTTGAGAGACTATACACTGCTAAATCCAAATTCATTTTTACTTCAGAACTTCGGGGTTCATTGATTCAGTTAAATTAGACCCGATCACCATGTTCGGCTAAACTATGCATAGCTGATAGCTAAATTATAAGTTTATATCACATGAGATCCCTGCCAATTCCTCGATAGTTCTAGGAGAGTTCCAGGCGCTGGTGAGTTTCTATAAATCACAAGATGATCAGCCAATCAGTTTTCAGATTTTTTCTTTAGCCAGATAAGCATAATGGGAATTCAGAAAAATGATTACGAATAAAAAAAATATTATTTTTTCTGATGGTAAAGTCTGGACAAGCTTGTCCGAGTTCATCAAAATTGAGCAGAAGCTGGATCAGCATCCAGTTAAATTTATCTCCTGAAACTTATGCGAAGCACCTACAGCTATTTTTTCTGATAGACACGTATATAAGCAGGATTAACGTCAGGTCGTCAGGTTAAATTTATCTTCCGAAGGCGTATGACTAGCTTATTTTCCTGATGGTAGAGTCTAGACTAGCTTGTCTGGGCTTGTCAAAATTGCACAACCGTTTTGGCGAATTATTTTCGTGATGTTTGGCAACAAGTATTTTATAAAAATAAAATCTGATATGGGAAATGCTTTATTAATATATATTTGAATCCGTTATGGGCATTTATTAAGATGATTAAAAGCAATATTTATTATTATTATATTGTACTATTTTGAATGTGAAATAATAATGACATACCAAAGAATGCAAAGAATAAGAAATAATAATTTCTGCAAATTATATAGAAATTTTTTTTGGAGAAAAAAAAGTGCCATTTGTTATGCGTTTATGACCTTTATTCAAAGCTTTATAGAACGCATCAGTATTTTTTCTGGTCCTGGCTTTTCAGGATAAGACGATTTTCACAGCCTTTATTACTTTTGAGAACCCTTCTACGGTCTTTGAGATCTCAATATCTTGTAGATCCATCATTATTATAGTGTTATCGAAAAGATACTTTGACACAGATATGGTAAGGCAGAACCCATTTGATTGAAAACTGTAAACTTTGATATTTTTAATATCGTCTTTTGAGGCAGAAGGAAGTGTAAAAAATAGAACTGTTAGAATAACCTTTGTACAATATTCTAACTTTCGAAGGTCACCATTCTTCTTTCCGTGATATTCAAGACACCATCTTCTTGAGCTAATAGTTCAGTACCTAAAGATTTCAAGAAGCCTTTACCATCGAGCTTCAGGGCACTGCGTTCAGCAATATTTAAGATCTCTTTAAGTTTATCATAAGATTTTGACGCTAATTCACCATAGCTTAATTTGAGATCTGTTTTCTCCAGAAATGCGTTTCTAAGCAATAGTGTTTACAGATGTGCATTAAATTCACGTTCAGACATAGGCTGGAGGAAGACATCATTTTTATACAAGGAGAAGAAATGAATAAAAGGCTTTGTGCATAAATAAGGTCATCTGATGCTGTAGAATAATTTATTAAGTTCTCATCTAGGCATCTACTTAAAAACTCTAGATCAGATACATGGTTGAATTTATCCAAGAATAGTAAAACATCCTCATTACAATCAACTATAAATTTATCAATGCTTCGTCCTTTAGTAAAATTGATAACCTTGGCATTAGGATCTTGAAGTTGATTAACAACAAATTGTTTAAAGTCATGAGGTATAAATTTAGTACATTTGACATTATAAAAGTTGATAACGCCAATAGAGAGAGGGCCTTATTCAATCTCTTTCGAATGAATAAAGTCCAACACGTCTACATCATTGTATATTAACTTGTCGTCTGCTAAGACGCACGTTTGATATGTTTTGAGGGCTTCTTCTGCTATATCACAAGCAATGTATTTAATATTCTTTGTCTTTTTATTCATCCCTGCTGAAGATGTATTCGATTCGGCTTTCTTGTCGAGCTTGATGGAAGTTGCAAGAAATGTATTTATAAGATTAACTGGTCCAATCTTGGGTTCAGGTGATGAAAACACCTTATTTTCTTCAATCACCGGAATGACAGTTTTTATCTGTAAATGCATTTTGAAATATGAGAAAATATCGTTATTGTGGACTATGATTTATAACAAAGAAAAAATATATTTGCTTTATCCCCTCCATTTTCTATAATTTGTGAATTTACCTCATTTATGGTTAGTAGAGAAATCATTTCTGATTTACGTGAAGAAATTTCAGAGAAGACGTTTGTAAGAGAAATAGATGATGATGATGATGATCTTTCGTCACTGAACGTTGAATCATTATATGTTAACTCCATATCCATACTGATGGCTCTGGTCTATGCACACATTCAAAGATTAGATAAATAAATGATCATCTGAACTCGTATACCAAAGAATTTTTAACGTTTTTGTGAAAACCAAATATTGAGTTATATCCTGACCTTACTCAGTATTGTAAAAGATGACTCTTCCTCGTACGATCACTTTTGTCCTATTATGGTATCCGCTTCTTTCTCTCTTGCCATCTCAGTCTGTTCCAGTATGTGTGAATTAATTTTATTAACATACTCATTAGATTTCTGACTACGAGAAACGCAGAGCACATCTAATGCTTCTATCTGCGATTTCTTATCAAAAACATCCTAGAAAGTTGGCAAATGATCATGCTAAAATCAAAATCGTTGGACATTTTAAGGAGGACTATTCAAAGTTATACATACCTCTCTTATCATCAACTCTTTATCTAGTCTAACACCATCCCAAAAGTTCTCTTCTTCAGGTGGGCGCTTCTAATAATTCAGAGATAACAAATATTAATCGAAAAAGTAATGCGTTTAATTAATTTGGCATGATCTTACTGGAGGAACGGCACCCCACATCTGTCACACTGAGAAACGGCATCTCATACCTCGAGAAGGACAGCATCCTCTCTAGGCTGTGTAATAGCAGAAGATCGTGAAATACAACGCTGAGGAATGGCATCCCATACCACAAAGAGGATGGCACCCCTCCGAGATCATATAGATTTCACCCATAATGGTTTAGAGATAAAGCGACTAACCTGTCGAATCAGAAAAGCTATATGCTCTTTGATACCATTATTATGCTCATTTTAATTTATAAGACATTTACTTAGAAAGCATAGATACTGCTTCCTCCATATGGATTTTAGATCGTCCAACGAACGTTCTTCCAAGATGCAATAAGATTTTAAAGTCTTTAAAAAATCCAAATATGACCATGCTAAGACGGGCGTACTCTCAAAGTATGATTTAATTGAAAAATGTAATTCAGTAGACATTGCAGATAATGCAGAAGCAAGTTATCGTGAAAAGCAGAAGCAGGTTATGCATAAAAAGTAAAAGCAAGTTATGTGTAAAAAGCAAAAGCAAGTTACGTGAAAAGCTATAATACAGTGGCTCACAAAAGTAATGCAACCGCTAAGCATAAAACTTTAAATTAATGTAACTTTTTTTTATTCATAAATT